GAAAGTGCAGAGAGATAGTCTTTTCCTATTAATTAGGAACACAGGTCCAAGGAAATTAGGCGTAAGTGAGATAATTGAGGAGTCTGACGGCACACTGATTCTCGATCAGCAACGCCGTCTAGATCGATGTGCAGAACATTTTAAGGCTAGGTTCAGCCGACCCTTGTCAGTGCAAGACCTCCCAGTATCCGGTTCAACTGTGCACATACTGCCTGTTGACATCCGTCCTCCATCTGAAATAGAGGTTTCCTGAGAACTAAGTTAACGCAAAAGGTATAAGGCTTCCGGCCCCGAAGGGCCATCCCCATCGATTTTCGAGGATGGAGGTTCAGCCTTAGTTTTGGAGTTAACGAAACACCCGGGATCAGTGTGTGAGAGAGAACAGATCCCAATAAAGTGGTGTGAATAGACGATCATACCGATTTACAAGACAGATGACAGATCCTCTTGTGAAAACCACAGAGGAATCAGTTTAACCAACATTGCATCTAAAATTGTCGCCGGCATCATAATCCGTCTGCCGCACTTGAAGTGTGCATACTTGAGAACCCGGCTGGTTTTATAATTGATCGAGGTTCTATCGACCACACCTTCACTCTTCGTCAAATTCTAAAACACAGACACTCCTTTCATAAACCAACCGTTTTTATCTTCTTAGATCTGAAAGTGGTTTTCGAATTTATCGACTGTTCCGAAATCCGGCGCTGCTTGGCTCTGAAGGGCGTGTCCGAGAAGTTTATTTCAATCCTACAATCCATTTATATCAATAGTCGAAGCCGAATCCGAGCTAACAGAATATTTTCAGCCGATTTCGACAGGGTTGCCCTGTCTCTCCGTTTCTTTTTAACTTTGCCATGGATTTACTTCTCGAAACAGCCCTATCCTCGTGTGAGGATTGCGGTATCGATTTACTCCCGGGTAGCAGACTGTCTGATTTAGTCTATGCAGACGACATTGTGATACTAAGTGAAGATCCAGGTAAGTGGCAAGCTTTTCTGGATAGCTTGTCTGCCAGCGTAGCCATGTTCGGTATGCGTTTTGCACATTCATAGTGTAAAATGTTACACTACAAGATCGGGTTGGTCCAGCACCCAGTCTCACCGTGGCTGGAGAAATAGTAGAGGTGGTAGACAAGTTTTGCTCTCTGGGTAGCTATATCTCACTTGGCAGACGCATCACAGATGAGGTGTCGGCGGTCATACAGGAAGGTTGGTTGGTATTTACCAACTTGAGACATCTCTGGCGCCGTCGTGACATCCGGCTGTCTGTGAAGGGTCGAGTGTATGCTACGACAGTACGGCCAGTCCTGCTATACGGTGCAGAAACGTGGCCATTAAGAAAACAGGATAATGACAGACTGACGGTGTTTAAACACAGCTGTCTACGCAGTATTGCACGAGTCTGGTAGGGTTGCCGGATGAGCAATGCTGAGGTTACTGGCAGAGTTTTGGGTATCCGCGGTCGCCCACTGGAGCAAATGATCGACCTCCATAGATTACGTTGTTTGGGGCGTCTTACGCATGTCACCAAATTGGTTACCACAGCCAATGGTGTTTGCCGAAGCAGACACCAAGTGAAAAAAGCCAAAGGTGGTCAACTTTAGATTTGCCACCTTTTTCAGATTNGTTTTCCACTGTGTGCTACATTTTTCACCAAAGTTTATATGTAGTCTATCCCAGAGGTGTTCCATGGGATTAAAATCTATTAATCTAGCAGGCCGCGGTATGCAGCAAAAGAGATTTATGTGTTGGCTTGTCGTCCCACGGGAGATAATGGTTGATCTGTGTTCTATCAGCGGCTTCTGTTGGTCATTCAGTAACTTTGTATACGTCCAACCGGTCTTGGTTCCGTCGTACGGAAAGGCTCGGAAATCTCTTGTTTCGAAACAGTCTCTACTTGAATGGCATCATCCAGAACAAAAGGCGTGATGTCTTCTTTGGCACTGCGCAAATGCGTTCCTCACTCCAAATATTTGGCTTTAGTCCCACAAAGATATATAGTACCTTATCAAATTCGCTTACTATTGTTGCATGACAGAAGCTGAATGGGGTACAACACATCATCATCATCGTACAGTAAGATACAATGAAACGAACTTCACTGATCACTGCCAAACTCACGATGTACGCAAGTCAAGTGATAAAGCACAAGATGGAGAGAGATTGGGCCTAATTGGGGGAGGCAAATAAAGTGAACCTCTATGGTCAACACACTGAGTGCACAATCTAACTGTGCATACATGCCTTTTCAAGCATTGGGACCTGGTAAGAATGACAGCAAAAACGCTACTGCTGTCGGTTGGTCACCATATCCTTCAGNAACCAATCAGTTGCAGTCTTTTGGACCCAAACCTTGAAGACGGGAGACACCTATTCTACCTAATAGCTCTGCGCATTTCTCCATGCCTCTTTTCCACGTCATCTGTTGACCTCTACGAGGTTTCTTCCAACCTGGAGCCACAACTGAGAATAAGGCGCGGTGCGGTAGACAATGGATGGGCATGCTCAATGCGTGTCCTAACCAAAGAAGCCTACTCGTCTGAATTCTCCATCGAATTATTACCAAATGCACGACGCCTTACCTCAGAGTTGCTTACACGATCGCCCCATCCAACCAGGACGAAACTGCGCAAACATCGGCAGTTGAAGTCTTGTAGACGACAAATGTCTTCCACGCGAAAATTCAAGATCTCACAACCATAAAGCAGATCTGACCGCACGCTGGCGGAATATACACAATCTTTCAGTTTCAACGAAACATCGCGTCTGCACCAAAGGTGTTTCATTCCAGCGTTTCTCGAGCCTTGGAAATGCGGGTGGTTACTTCATTGACTGTGCTCGCGTCATTTGTCACGCAGCTACCTAATTTGGATGAACATTCTACTAATTCTTGACCATCAAGCACCATCGCCGGAGTAGACGACACCCAGTCTTCCTGCATTACTTTGCCTTTTGAAGGTGAAAAGCGCATACAGAATGAAGGTACAGAACTTAAAAGTCTGTCATTCGAATTCGAATAGCTCGCAACAGAACACCGATCACCTTGAAAGTTTAGTGCTCTAGTTCGGTCAGCGTCCCTTCTATTGCCATACTCTCATCCTTACATTTATCATTTCTATTTGAAGCCTTCCTCCATCGCTCCACGTGATACCACCCTATTGTCTTCCATGCAGGCGTTCAGCTTTTGTCCTCATGTGTGTTCTGAACCGGAAAGACATGCTCCCGTTTTAAGAATGATACAGTTACAGAGAGATTTCCTCCGTTCACCCTCATTGTATCCCTCCGCTTTTCACAGAAACCTGATCAAATAGGCGAGGATATACAGGTACGAGTTTCTTCGTATTTTTTATGCATTTGGAACCTATAGATCCTCAATCTCTTGGTGTCCAATTGGCGAAGTTTTTGACTTTCGATAAACTGAAAAATAACTTGCGGCTCCCTCACATTCACTCCAAACTGACGTAATGCGGATGTCGCATATTTACTTCTTTCTGTATGTGTGAATAGAGGTCAACTGGTTTACGTGAGTACAGTTGTCGAACGTGAATAAAGGTTAGCTGAATACCGTTCGCGAAACTGAGCTCACCTGTCTGTGTCGTGTTACACCCTGGCTAGTGTAAACACCGGTCTAGGCCTTACTTTATTCTGTGATGAAGTGGGGTTCTCGAGTTTCTTGTTAACATCAGTGCAACAAACGGATGCTACCTAATGAAGTTCAATAACTTAACTGCATCAGTTTCTTTTGACTTAAAAGAGGCGGAAACGGACCTTACTGAAATAAAGTAACGTGATGATAATACCGATACTTTCGCGCCTTCAAGTACGGCTTCAAATGAATACCAACACTTTGTAAAATCAAGATTAAGCGGGTGGTAACATTATGCCTATTTGTCTCTAAGGCTGAATGGGCACCATAACTGTTGAAATTGACATGACACTTTCATTCTGTTGTAGTTCACAAAGCAACTATGGCTAACTGTCAGTTGTTGTTTTTTTCGTCCCTTGGACGGAACTACCCTGTCCAGAACGCTGTTGATCAATGCATCGGCTAGGGGAATTTCCCCTTGTCTATTCTTCTGCGGTTTTCTTAACTCTCTTCAATCAGCTAACTGCTGGTGGCTTACCTTGCCGGATAAAGTTCCGGAATTGAAGGTCAGCTTTTGCAGAATTTTATGTTGTCAGTATTTGACTGGACACTGCGTCGCGCCCAATGACACAACGTACCTTTCTACATTAAACTGTATTTTTCACTTCCGAGAATCACTGAATACTATGCCACATCAAACATTTGTATGACTTTTTTCGTTCACTTTTCAGATGTCTTTTCAATTGTGGCAAATTATGGGATTGTATGTCTCTTGTGCTCTCACGTGACAGTCTTCTGTGAGATGAGTTATCACTGAATTGTGGTCGTCATCGTCATTTCCATGCCCCAGTGCGCTTGGATCACCTACCCCTATGCATGAATCCTTGTTGACTCTATTCGTATGTGTGCTATTCCAATGGCTAATCTCCGTCTGGCGTCCATGTGAATCCACCACGCATATCAATACTGCACTCTGTCAGTTACGTGTCACACATAACGCTTCCATTGTGGGCACAAATGATACACGCAATCTGCGTGTTCTCTATCGTCTTTACGGTCCGAACGCTCGTGAATTCGTATTTGTCGCGGGCACAAATCATGTCTACCAGTTTGACGCACATCACCTCCGGCGCTTGTCCACTCGTGTAACTGGGCCGCAAAATTTCTCCATTCTCTGTTCGGATGAACACGAATGTAGCTATTGTCGGATCACACCAAACAGTCCATGGCCGAAAGGCTATTCGGCCGAGTTTTGTGGTCCTCGACCGACCGATAACTTTGTCCGAGCCTGGGCCACATCCACCGTAGCGGCAGATGATGATGATAACCATATGTTTCAACACGGTGATAGTCTGACTTCCCCTGTTTATGATGTGGTCATTAATGATGATCGCATCGCTTGCGAAGATGCGCTCTATCTGTGTTACAATGCGCATCATGGTTATTGTGAACGTGTACGCTTACAAAATGTGAGCACCGAAGCTCCCTGGCACGGCCCTTTTGGTCAACCGCATCCGACGACCCAGTCGAATCGGGTCGCCGTGGTCGGTTGTGATCCGATCATGCACGCGACCATTGTCGTGGGTGCTCAATATGTGTACGCGGCCACGGAACCGGATATACTAAAAAGTCTCACCCTGTTTTCACCTGACCCACTGAGTGCACGTGCCCGGGATTTTCAACTGGTCAATTCAAATCGAGACACAAAGACCGTGGTCACTTTGACCGACGATTCTTCTATCCCGTTACAGTACAAATTCTCGTTTCGCTATCGTATACATCCACTATCTACACCGGTTTCAGATCCGACCACTACCCCGGTACCAGCACATGTGTATTTTGTACTCCAACAACCCCGTAGTGCACGATTCACGCACTGGCAACCCCGTGTGGCACGAATTTGTGAAGGAGACAAACATTTCTATTCATATGTGGAGTTAAATCTGGTCTGTTACCAATGTGCACCGATCGCGGAGCAAAAACACAAGGTGAGACTAGTTCAATTTAGCCCGATTCTCTCTCTCTCTCTCTCGTTCTGTGCGAACCAATCAACCTGCCTTGTCGTGTTATATACCATGGACAGACAACCATGGTCCAATTCATTGTCTTCTTGTATCATCTCCCCCGCTCCGCCCCCTCTCTGTTTGTCACTAAAAATGATTCACGGTCCATAGGGCTGGATCACAGTCAAATTTAATTAGCTCACCACCAAGACTGGGCTGACTCTGTGCGTTCATATTTATTTGTATGGGGGCCATGACAAATATGGTTGTGTTGTTGTGCAGGCCTGGCAATCTAATCACACGCTTCTGTTGTCTTGTTTGGATGTCACTGTTGTTGCGAGCTTTATGTGAGTGGGGAAGGGGGAGGAGAGAGTTTATGAACGGCTCGAATGCATTTTGTCGTTCCCTCTTCTCACCTTGTCTCTCACAGCTTCGTTGTTGTCCGATTTCCATTCGGTGATTGATTAAATCGGGTCCCATATGTGAACGGTCAGAAATGCCGGATTCAATTGAGATGTCATTTTTCTCAAAAAAAAATGATTGTTTACCCCCATTGAGGAGAGGAAGAGTAGGAAGAGGACAATACGCTGTTAGCATAGCCATTTTTTTTAGTTCGTTGCTGTTGCTACTGTTTCACGCCACCAGATCAGAGAGTAGATTGGGGGTGGGGTGGGAGTGGAGTGGAGTGGACAAAGAAGGACAGGTTTTCGCCATTCCTTGTTGATTTGTTTGTGCAATATGTTTTTGTGACCTCTTGTTAGTCTACTCCAATTTACTTTGATTTGTTCTTGGCCTCCCTGTAGTCCTGATCAAACGGAAGGGTTTACCGTTTTCTATGTGGAATCGGCATGTGTTTAGTCCTCTGGTTTGATTTCGGTAAATTTCCTAACCGACTAATAATCCCCGACCTTTGGTTGTCTGCATTTACTCATTTTGTGTGAATTTCTTGTTGTTTTTAAACGGTACTTACATAAATCTATAGATGAAAGGGAAGAGGCATCATTTGGGTTTTCAAATAAAGAATTTCTTTTCTAATATAACTTGAAATAATCAGCTAAAAAGATCTTGCAACACGGTTATCCATTTGATCAAAACAAACGGTTCCACCGAGCCTCGCTATTTGTCATGATATTAGAATCAGATCCGAATGCACTAGACTAATGTCAAAAATGGCAAATTTTCCTAGTTTAGAGTAACGTTAATCAGGTGCTTTCATAGTTGTATCTCTGCTACCAACTTGTGCTGTGTTCGGTTTGCAAATTTCAGCCTCACGGATAAGGTTATCCATTTTCGGTACTATCTACATATTAGATATCTGTAAACTGGTGCCTCATTCCTGCTCGTCTCTGCGATGCTGTGGAATGTGGAATTGCACATAAACCTATTCTGCTCAGAAGGAACAGTGATTGGCATCATTAGTTCCGTGCTCAACTTCTCGCATCCAATTGGTGACGGTCAGAGTTCCTCATTCTTAAACAATGTCCAAAGTGTTCTGACTATCGTTCGACTTGTACAGGCGAAATTCCCCATCTGAGGATTTGACGAGGTGACCGGTTTATATGTGAACAATTTTCATCCCCTCTCCCTTCCCCCGATAGTCTCGTAGACATTTTTCAACACAATATCTCACAATTCCAAAGGTTTGCATTTGGTTGGGATAATCAGTAATGCTTCACATTCGGGCTACTTCCTCAAAGCCAAATACTGAGGCGGATATCGTAATGGTTTTTGTGTGAAGCCGATCTACGATTGCCACGGTTGAACAAGAAAACATGAAAACCTGTAGTGCAATCCTCCTCTCCCCCTCCCGTCAGCCAATATCTACTTGTCATTTTTTAGCCGGAAACAGCTATATTTAGCTTCATGCCTAATCACACTCACTTCCAGATCAACACACGTGATTTTCGATATACACCACTGGCACGAGCACTCGATTTGAGGTAACCTGTGCCAAAAATCTGCCGTAACTTTAGGGGGTAACACAGTTTGAACTGTGGTGTGTATGTGTCTGTGCGTGGCAGACCATTTAGTTTGAAACGAGCTGATGCTCTTCAGTCTTGTGAATTAAGTGCTTATTTCATGTCTCCCTCTCTCTCGCTGTGCAAGCATGCATACATGCGTGTGTGCATGCATGTGTATTAGATTGAGTACGCCTAAGTGTGCTAAACACGAACGCGTGCTCGCACACACACACACCGGTCTTCGTCAGTGCGCCATTCAACAATCGATTGTTCCGGCATTGCCAAGACAAGTTCACGAGCTAGCCAGCTAGCTAATCGAGCTAGTAGTCGAACGAGTTGGCGTTAGCTTCTCCAAACCATGAGACTATTGAACATGCACGCTTCGATCAAACGTGCATTCTCGAGTACTGGTTTCTTGTAACTCCATGCGAGACTAGCTAAGTCTTTGCTGAAATGATTATTGTTCTACTCCGCCTGATCGCTGTTCCAATCCTCAGGATGATTCATTCCCAGTGCTATTGAGTCATCTTTGTCTAGTTCCACCATTCATATACATTCGTTCATCTGTTGAGTGGTCTAAGCCTCGTTTGTTTCCCTCATTCAATGACAGGTCTTCATCCAATAATCAATGGTGCTCCCGGGGGAATCCAACATATTTAAATCATTTTTCTTTGTACACTACAAAGGTCAGTCATTACGAGAAGTAGAGCTTAATACCATTGTCCGAGTACTCGGTTTGAATCAATCACTAGTTTGTCTATAAACCAAACAGATGCACGCTAGATGCAACTTCCTTTTCTTTACAGAAAATTACCAAATCCTTGAATGACTCTGCGAAATCCGTTTGTTGTGTTTCTGGACTACTCATCTGCTTTTGGTTATAGTCTTCGTAAACTGGAGACCTTTGGTTGTCCTAGGCAGTTATTAGCTTGGTTTGCTGATTAATTCTCCGGGAGAAGTCAATGTATCAGGTTAGGTCGAAAAAAAATCCAAACCATTGTTAAACAATTCTGAGGTACTTCAAGGTGCAGTTCTTTCCCTATACTTATTTTTTACGTATATTATTGACTTGTCTGCTAGTGTCCCAACTCTCTCCCTTTAAATACGCTGACGATGTGGTTTTATGTCGGGCCATCTCCGACTCTTCTGGTCTTCCACAATTTTCTAACAACTTGGATAACGTCCACCGGTTTTCCGCCACATCGGGCTTATCTCTTAATCCCTCCAAATATTTTGAATATCTCTTTACATTATGACGCTATTCTTTCCCATCTGAACCGGTATCGATTGGCTCTGAACCAGTATCCCGGGTAAACTGCATTAAATACCTGGGTGTTTTTTTTATACTAATCTTCACTAAACCTCTCACATTCAACACGTCGTCAGTAAGCTTCGACGACTTTCCTTTCATATCCGTAAACTTCGTCAGTTTCGTATTCATCAAGCAATTATTTCTAAATTTGTGTACCAGTGTGTTTTCCCCGTTTTACTTTATTCCTCGTGTTATTTTTCCAAAAGAAAGATCTTAAACTGCTTCGACTTGGATTGACCATCATTAGCCGTGTCTCTTCAATCCGGTTATAGGAGTTGGTAACTAACCTATGCGAACGTCATTTGAATGCATGTGAAAAGTTTGCATGTAAGATTCCACACATCCGCTACACGCAGATCGAACTTCCTGTTGTTCCCATCCTTCACTTAGATCCCAATATCGTTGTGTTCCCTCTCGAATAAACATATATCGTAACTATACAGTACCCTCGTTAGCACGTATTCTAGTTAACAATGAACAGATCTTCACAGGGTTTGTTACCAGTTTTGGGATTTAAATCCCTTTTTCATTTTATTTTCTCCTTTGCTCCAACCTGTATATTTTTAACTGAAAGTTAGGCTTCATACCTACAGAATTTATTACAATACAATTCAATCCAATATGTAATAGATGAAAATCCACTGCTTGGTCCGATTAATATAGGGCGTAAAGCTTTTCGTCATTTTATGTCGCTTTGGTTTGGGCACACTTGTTCTTCTCAAGCCGATTCGTATATCGCGTTACTAGTTTCACCATTCGATGAAAACATTAACTTATTTGTTGGTAATTTTGTTCATGAAAATATTTCACCGCTGCTTCCGTTTGGGCTAGCTGACCTTTCTCATTCTCCTACCAGAAGTAGTTCTGTGCTGGACAGAGTGATCAGAAGCCATCCCAACTTAGTCTCTCTCTCTCTCAAACCAATGGCCCCGGTTTCTATCAAAGATCATCGATTTCTTCTTGTTAGACCAAAGGCACACTCTCGCACTGCTTATCAAACATTCATACGTTCTTCTCAAATAAAATTTTTTCTAAGGGATTTTTCACCCTACCACATATCTCCTCCCAACCGTTCTGTTGTGATTGTTCATTCTTGTTTTGATTCTTGTCCATCGCTTTTTAAATGTGTCAGTCTATTCACTGAAACGATTAAATCGATCTTTAACTTTATGTTGCCCCATGAAACCCCGTTTGTCAGTGACGGCAGAATTACCTCACCCTTTTTGAAAAAGGCACAAAGAAAGGGCCTACAAATCTCTCCATGCATCAGTTGTAAAGCACTATTATGGTTTAATCATGTCTAAGGTAACGCACCTGAATGCAATCTTCCTCGCCCAAATTCTGCGAACAAACAACACCAGGCAATCGCAATCTCTGTGGGTAGAACAGAAAGCACTTAAATATCCCGATGGACGTCAACACCACTTTCACCCACCCACCCCGTCGAACGAGAGCCGGATTCCTTCATTCCCATGCAATGAATCCAGTTGAGTGCCTTTTTTTTAGCTTTTTATACTGTTAAG